TGTTCCTGCTCTCGCTATCTCTGTCTCTGTCAAATAATTAAAAAAAAAAAAAAAAAAGAGGGAAAAAAGGAAGAAAAGCAAAAACAGGGCACTGGAGAACACTTAGGCTTAAGAGGATGGGAAAGAATTAGTCAGAGGCAAAAACAAAAAACCCAGAGAAAGGTGAAGAATATGGATGGCTCAATATCTTAGAAGTTGAGGAAGGAATTCTGAGCATGAGGAGAGGAGTCACAGAAGACTCCTTTAAGAAAAGAGAAGTAAATCTGCAAGATTCCAGTAAATCTTAATTGTACATTTCTAATAGTATGAATTAAAGGACAAGGGATCAAGGAGTATGTGATGAAGAGAAAAATCTGGTGAAGAGAGAAAACAATGATACATATATACACAATCTAAATTCATTTTACTTTATGGACTTGAGTAATACAAGAAAAATTTAAGAACTGAGACTGGGAGAAGACCAACAGTCTTCCTCGCCAGCCAAGTGAGAAGAGAATACATGCAATGACAGGACTATGTGATCAGGACCCTTTTTTATGAAGAATACTCTAGTTCAATTTAAAATTGTGTACTAATGATAAGAGTCCCAGTTATTAAATCAGAGACTCAAGTACTCTAAAAGGCCTCTCTTTATTCACATAACATTCAATATTGGTTTCAAGACTTTTAAACCTCAGAATAATAGATTATTTCTATTGCAAACAGTGATGAACCAACCAAATGAAAACTACCTCAATCTCAAGTAACACCACACGATAACAAAATTAACGGATATTGGTACAAAATAAATACTGCTTACCTAGCATACGAATGTACAATGCAGTCTGGTCAGAACTGTCATAGGAAATAGCTCCACGCCTCTAGAAAAAAACATACACACATTTTTTTAATGCATGGCAATTACATGGGATATGAAATTTAACCAACATTTATTACTTATTGTGCAAAAGAAGCTGAATATACAAAATGAAATTAGATATGACATCTGCTCTTAAAATCTCTAGTTGTGAAGAAGACAGTTATAATATGATGAAGCAATACCATAAAAGTGGATACAGAGTAAGGAACATGCAATAGGTAGAAAGTTAATGTCGGAGTCAGACAAGCTCACTTGGGGAAAGACCTTTCGCAGAGGTAGACAGAAGTGAAGAAGAGATACGGTCCAACTACTTACCATTCCCTTAATTTAAACATGAAAGAATAATCAAACAAGAACCATCATTTGATGAAACCCATCAGGCTAGAAATAAATGGAACAAGATGAAAAACCAAATGGCCCAGAGGCTAGCAAGAAATGAGAGAATTTTTAAAAATATAATTAGTATACTCAAAGAGATTTGAGACAACACTGAATCTATAAAACAAAGGACAGGGTACCACTGAAAGAGAAGTTTTAAAATATATTTTGTGTTTAAAAGTAAACAGATATAAAAATGCAGCTTACAACATTATTCATAATAGCCCCAAACTAAAAACAACCCGAATATCTAGCAACGAATGAATGGATTAATACAAATGAAGTATATCCATACAACAAAGCATTATTCAGACTTTAAAAGGTATGAAGTACTGATGCATCTACAACATGGCTGAATCTCAAGAACAGCGTGTTGAGTGAAAAGAGCCAGTCACAAAGGACCATACAGTGTATGGTTCCATTGATATGAAATGTCCCAAACAGGCAAATCCACAGAGGCAGAAAGTAGACTGGTGGTTGTCTAGAGTGGGGAGAGCTGGTGAGAAATGGGGAGCGGATGCTAATGGTACTGTGTTTCTATCTACAAGGGATGAAAGTGTTCTCAAATTATCCGTGGCAAGGACTGCACAACTCTGTGAATACGACTAAGAATTACTGAATTATATACTTTAAATGGGTAAATTGTATGGTATGTGAATTGTATTCCAATAAAGCTATTATAAAAATAACAAATGTTACAAATTTAAAATATACATCCTAAAACAAAATAAATTTGAAGAGCTGAAATACCCTCCACAAGTTCTGCCAACTCTACCTTCGCACTCCTCTCCCATTCTCTAGCTCCACTTCTTCCTTCTTTCTCAGGCACCACCACCTCTAAGCTGGCCTCTTGCAGTGGGCTGCTGGCTGTTTCCTGCTGCATCTCTTGGCCCCCAGTCCGCTCTTCACATAGAAGCAACAGTGAACAACTCGGCTACTGCTCAAAATCCTCCAGTGGCTTTCCACACACTTGGAATAAGGTCCAACACCAAGCTCTGATCTCCAAAGACCTCCATGATCTGTCCCCCTACGCTGTCCTCACCACCATAACCCAGCCACACTGGCCTCCTTGCTATTCCTCAGCTGTACCACGGGTGCAGCCTTTATACTTGTTCCCTGTCCAGGATCACTGCATCACTGTTCCTCCTTATCTCTTTGGTTCTAGATGAAATGTCATCTCTTCACTGAGGCATTCCAAGGCTACCAAATCTAATGTCACCTGAAAGCCACCCTCTCCCACAGCCCTACCTTCCTGCTCTGTTATGGCACTTAGCTGGTGTTATCCTGTTCGCTCGTTCTAAAATAGAAGCTCCATAAGAGCAGGAACTGTATGTCTTATTCACCACCGTAGCCCTGGCCCCTAAAACAGTAGCTTTTAGTAGATTCTAAATAAATATTTGGTAAACGAGTGACTGAGTAGGTTTATTGCAAATAAATTAGTGAATAGTTTATTAAGGTGATGAATAAACTCATGAATAACAGAACTGATACAAAGACAGATTTAAAAATCTAGAAGATGAAATTGACCAAACCTCCTATTAGAAAGGCCTTTCTAACCGTTCTATAAAACACGTCTAGAAGTCATGAAAGATGGATCAACATGAGTTCAACAGATAGGACAATGGGTGAATTTCCCCCTACTCTATCTAAAAATGAAAGGAACAAAAAGTGCCTTACAAATCAGTGAGAAAATAACGAATAAGAGTGTAGAAAAACAGGTAGGACATAAACGCATACTATTCACAGGAAAAGAAACAATAAGCCCATAAACACAAGACAAGATGCTCAACTTCATTAACAAAAGAAATAAACATTAAAGAAATGAGATATTTTTATATATCAGATTAATGATCTTCTTCCCTCACAAAACTCTGGCATGAGATTTACATTCCTCAACATACACCTAGAAATCTCAAGGAAAAATGATCACTATAAAGAAATTTACTTTATTTAAAATCCTTATTTGAATGTAGTTTGCAAAATAACTCCCCAAATCATTGTTATTATCTCCTTAATGCTTATCATGTAAGAGACAAATGTCAATTAAACTTAATAATTTCATGTATCCTTACAAAAAAACAACAGTTCAGAAAACATAAAAGAAACAGAAGTTCAAACAAAAATAAAATTCTAATTTTCAACACCAGTTGTCTCCAGGGAGCCCGAGGGACACAGAGGTAGGAGGAGGACTTTTCAGTGTTTATACCCTGAATTTTGTAGTATGTGTAGTTATTATCTATTCACAAAATAAACCAAATTAAAATTAAAAAGTAAAATGAGAATCTACTACAAAGAAATCTATAAAGAAAAGCATGATCTCAAATCCCAAGGGACTAAATCATACAGAATACGTTCCTGGCAGCATCACGCTTATAGTGTCTTCTACCAACAGAATCTCTCTCCTAAGGAAGCCTACTGCAGTGTAAACCAAAATAGTTTCAGGGTAAACTATTTATTTTGGAGCAAACAGCCACTGTAATCACTTGGTATTAAAAGGCACCTCTTGCACCTGCTGTTTGATCCCCTCTTATTAGATTACAGGCCTCCCCTTAATACCACCATATTAGAGGAAAACCTACGAGTCTGGAGAGCATATATGTGGAAATAAATATTACTCTCAGCCAAGACATATTAGTGAAGCTAAAGATATCACTGTGTAATAGCCTGTCATGGTCAATACCTATCAACCTGCTAGTGTCCAATAACAACTTGGATAAATAGGTTATGAAAACGAATTATGACTTGCCATCTCTAACAGCCCTCTTTAAGAGAGTGATTGACCTTATTATTTTTTTAATGTAGAATGACTATTTACTAAAACAGCCATTAATTAGGAATGTAATATCTCATTTATCACTTCACATATTAAGGACTGAGAAAAACTAGTATCAGCTCTCTGTTAAATAGTATAAATCAAAAACTTGTTAGTGAACATAATCCAGATTATAACTATGACATACTAAATTTATTTTAAGGTAATCCCTTTAGACTTATTTATAGAGACATTAATTTAAATATAAAAATGATAGGGTCTATATCATAATAAAAACCTGGCAAAAGACTAGAATTTAATTTTAAATATATTAATATATTCAGTAAGTTGTACTTATTGAAGTACAACTTATTCAAGTTATTCTATTCATTACTAGTTTAAGTAAGTCTGGTCCACACATAACTTAGTTTAAAAGCTATATTAAGCGACAAGACATAACTCTTATAAAATAAATCCAAATGAGACAATGTTTTTTTTTTAAAGGATGGACTTTTAAAATAGATCTATCTGAGCCTATCAACAAATATATCCCGAGTGATACTTCATTCATTTATCTCCTCACAGACCAAGATTAAAATGAATATTATTAAATTCTCTCACTAAACAATCATGGTAGAACAACCTAAAGTAACTCATTTTGGAAAAATACACTATAAATTATGAATTGTAACAATTTGATTTAAATGTTAGAATTAGTTACTTTAAACCAAAGTCATATGTGCTTTCTACGCCAACACTACAGCATAGACTTAACACATCTTTTTAAAGATCACCATCTTAAAAGCCAAATACTAGTAAAATCCTGTTTTTATTAAAAGAGTACAACGAATTTAATGACAATCCTGTGTCGCAGTCAGTCACAAAACACTTTGTGCTATCATCATCCACATCCCCACCTCCCCTCACCACTGAAGGGAAAAAACTCAGACGCCTCTACCCGTGACTCTTCTAATTTAGCCATCCTGGGAACAGCTTGAAAAGCAAACTGTATAGGTCAAAACATGGGCGTGGCTGAGCTAATCAGAAACTGACAGCAGCAGCGTAAACAAGTTAAACTGTAAGGTTCCAAAGGATCCACTGCCACGCTAACAGGACTTCTGAGTGCCCTGGTAGGACACTCACTCACCTTCAATCAGGATGAATCACTCTTCCACACAAGATCTCACTTACAAAGTGAGTGACAAAAGGTGTAAAAGTTGTTCCAATATTAGTTAATACAAAACTTTTAAAGACAAACATTTTTAAAAACTGAGCAAAGATATTTTAAGTGCCATTGTTTTTATCTTGTTCAAGTTTTCCACTAAAATGATCTACTGTGCAAAAGCCTGTTTATTTCCCTTACATGGGAAAAGTAATAATACATTAACTAACACTTGCTGAACTCCTACTTTGTGTCAGAAAATGTTACAGGTACTTTCATATAAAATCTCATTTAACCCATACAAAGACCTTTATAAGATAGGTTTTGTTGGCCCCATTTGGTGGATTAGTAAACTGATGGTCAAAGGGCTTAACCACAGTAGTACTAAATAAATTTTTTGGTAACATTACCAAACAACAGTAACAGATTACAAAAGATGGCTGGGCAGCCAAAATTTTAAAAGCAGTTTTCTCTGATGTAGTAAAATGAGCTTTTTCAGAATATATTCATCTTACACATGCTAAAGAAACATGCTGATGTTTGTCTATTAAAACATTGCATTGATCCACTGAACAGTATCCTTCCCTTCTTCCTGCCTATGAAAACAATGTATTTTTCAAAAATATTGCAAACTTAAAATATTAACATTCTTTTTGTTTAAAAGCTTAATTTTGGGGGGAGCACCTGGGTGGCTCAGTCAGTTAAGCAT